TTGTGTGATAGGCTTAAGAGTTCGTCAAACATAGGCTCACTCTTCTACGATCGTAGAATCGGGAATTTGACGAACTCTTATGACCAGTCTCTGATTAAAGGGTCTCTAGACTTCGCGTATCCCGCCTTCCTCCTCGCGACTATCGATCGGGCCGGCCGAACAATTTGGCTTTAACAAGCGCGCCATCGATTTAACGGATCGATACCCGCGGTATAAACGCTCGGACAATTGCAAGAAGGCGTCTCGTTCTCGCCTCGATAAGCGCGAGGATCCCAAACTGGTCGAAAAGAAAAAGAAAGGAAAGCTGAGAACAGAAAGTGGGCTTCGTACGCGACACCCTGTAGACCGAGTTATGTATACGCCGGACACTCTTACCGCGGATTGCGCAATGTTTGCGCGGTACAGTGATCTAGATAAAAGGGGCCGATGGCCAATTGGCTCCGGCGAAATCGCGGAAAATCGCTCGGGCGCGATTCTGGCGGCGCGCGAATTTTCGCGGATGTACTCCACTCGCGGTGCAGTGGCCGACGCGCCAAAGAGATATCTATTCGACACGCGACAAAATCGCATCGAGCGAGAGAGATACATCAGCCTAATTTTATGAAACAGTTTATTGAACCGTAATACCTCTAGTTACAAATGCCTGTGGGTATTCCACCTCGGAAACGGAGCGTATAAAGTTTTGAGAGCATTTCCGCACAAACGGCACTCGATCACAACGATTGATTAAATCAATTAATTCGGCCGAATCGCGGGTCGAAAGAGACGAATCTGCGATATTTCCTGAATTTTATTCATAGTTTCTCTCAAAAAATTGTCGTTAAATATCTTGGCAATCGGACATCAAATTCGGGACCGACGGTTTCTGCCCGAAAACCTGAGAAATGTTAAAGCGTCTACCTGTTAAAAAGCAACCTAGATAATCCGAAAAAAACCCCGTTTATTAGTGCAGATCGTAAAGTTAACAAGCGCGCGAGAGAGATTTCGTTTATTTCGCCAGAGTTTAATTCCTTCAACGTTAAACGACTTCTCCTCCCTCCAGCCTGAGGAGGGAAACAATTGTCAGTGTTCTTCGGAGAATAGCGCTCTTTGCCGTTGTTGGACATCCGGATGCGACCCCGTACACATCCGGCATCGAAGCGCGCGACCCTTAACAGGTTGAATTTTCTCCCGTCCGCGCGGACCGTTGCGCCTACCGCAATGGGAACACGGCCGTGCCTTTCGGACACGGTAAGAGGAAGGGGGGCCCGACGACGTTACCAAATCGCTATGGCGTAACATTTTGCTTATTCACGTTCGATTATACAATCTGGCACACTTTTACTCGGAGCGCGGCACGGCAGGCTCGTCGAGCGCGCCTCGGTATAGCGCGGTGTCGTTACGGCACTTTTGTCCCTTACTTTCCAAATTCTGCGCGGGCATCAGTGTCCTCTCTTTTCTTAGAAAAAAAAGAAGCGAGAGAGAGAAAAGAGGGAATACTGCACACGTGTGTTTTATTCTCTCATCTTAAATAAATATTTGATAAGTATTTTACCTAAGAATTATGGAAGCTGTTTTCGGAAGCATCTCGTAATCTCTATTTAATGCGTAATATTTCAATCGAGAGAGCGAAATAAGACGCTAAATTTCACGCGAGTCATTCTTTTATCTTAAGTAAATATTTTATCTAACATCGAAGTTACTTTCGGGAGCATCTGATTTGTGCATTTTAATTTGTGCATAACATTTCGCCCGAGAAAGCAAGCGAGACGCTTTTCGCGCAAGTATCGGGATAAAGTAACGACACGCGAAGGTTTTCGCGGCATTCCTTGCGAAATTTTACGGGCTCGCCGTAGAGTCGTTATCGAAGAGCAAGAGCTTATTCCGTGCCACGGAAATTGTCATTAACGTGTGCCGTCTTATTAGCGTATTTCGAGCAGCTGCGATTTACGGCTCGGTGAACGGCGATCATTCGTATTTTCGTGCAGCCACGAATGCGGAATGACGTTTTTAACGCGCCGAAGACACACACGGTAATTCCCCCCCCCCCCGGCCAAAACGGTCGTAAAAAGGAGGTTAAAGATAGTCTCGCGCGCGGGATATTTTCAATTAGGGAAAGTTCGATCTCATTGTCGACAGTGTCACGGCGGGAATTGCAGGCTGCGATCATAATAAAACGCAACGAGCGCTGGCTTCCGCCCGAGACGCGCGCGCCTGCCTATCCGCGCCGCGGTCTTTCTTCTATTTTCTTTTCGCCGGGATAATTGATACTCCGCGCTCGCACGCGGAGAATTTCACCGCGATTGTACGCCGGCGAGCGCTTTCCACCTCGAGCCGTGGCTCGTCAAGAAACCAACCTTGGCGCTGATCCGAGAGCGCGGCTGTCTCCGCGGCGCCAGGTGCGCTCGTCGACGTGCGATCAGCTGCCGATCCCGCGTCGAACCCTCTTTAAGTTTATTCTACAATGGACGCAAGACATTAAAACCGTAGCGCAAGAAATTGGCCAATGACAGTCGATCGTTCTTCGCATGTCTGACTGCGATCGCACGGTTTCTTGCGTTGCGGCTCAGCGTCTTGCGTCCATTGTAGAATGAACTTAACGGCGTAGAGCCGCGCGCCGCGGAATCGCGACCGAGAGATCTCCTGGCTCGTCGATCACGTCCCGCGATTATATATCGCGCGCGGCGGCCCAAACCGACGCGCAACTGACCCACATCGTCACCGTCTAATTAATTCCCGCGACATCTCGACGCGAGTTGGCCGCGCGTACCTACCGAGGCCTCACGTCGGCGAATCGGTAAAAGCCTAAACGCCCCGGGTGTCCGCAATCCGCGAAATGCTGTTCCGCGGCGTCCTCGATTTCAGCACCGCTGACATGCTTCATTTTGGAGCGCAACCTCCTTCGAAACTTCCTTATCGCGGGCCGAATTTTTACGCTTGGAATTGAATCTCGAGGATCGCGCTCACTTTCAACGTCGACAAGTTTGCCGTCACGTTATGAGAGCACGAGAATGCAGTTACACGTGACTTTTGTACCTCGTATCACGGATGGATAGAAAAATTATCGGATTTCCGTACTCTAAATTCACGAAATGTAAATCAATGAAAACCACGCTCGACCAATCTTGAATGAATTTCGAAGGCTCTGCCTCGAACAGAGCTCGGGCAGAATTTGGAAAGTTCGTAAACAGCCGGTAAGCACCGGGAGCATTTCTTGATCGTCGTCTAGGCGCGTGGAGGTACGCGAAGAAAATATCTGTTATTTCTCAACGGAGATTGTAAGTATCGAAGGAGAAAACAGCGTCTGTCAAGAGATGCGAGAGCGTAGACGGAAATGCTACGGCGGCAGGAAGCGAATCTGGGCCGTCGAATCGGAGAACGGAAAGTGGGTCACGAGAACGAGACGAGTCGAGTCGCGCTCCGAGGTGTCGACGTCGCCGTCGTCGACAGCGACAGCGACGACGTCGACGACGGCGACGGCGCTCGTGCGATCGCTCTCTTCCACGTTCTCCGCGATGACAAGGCGAATCCTTTCACTTGGCACCTTGGCTGCGGAGGAAGTCCTCCTCTTGGACGAGCTAGACGCTTCCTGCCTTGGCGCGATACGAGAAACTCGGCCCAACTTCTTCTGCCCCGCGACCACGTCTTCGAAATCGCGGATTTACGTTCTAATTCCTTTATCACTTTCTCGCGTCTGTTAGATTAAAATTGTGGAGTATCTGTGTTGGTCGCATTAACCGCGCGTACTTGAGCAATCGGTATAACATATACGTAGCGTTTATCGGTGTCATTCGGTGTACCGTGCGCCTATTGCGCTATACAATGTGAGAAAGCTATATAAAGTTTCGCTTAGTATCCCATAGCGGAAAGTGAAATAAAAGTATCAGCGCGTTAGGTATGCACTGTATAAAGAAATTCGTTCGCTTGGTTTAGAGGCAACAGATAAAGAGTCGAGCGCTGACAGTAGAGCGCGTATATTGAAATAATCTCACACGTATAAACAAACTAATAATGAATCTAAAAGCGAACGTTTCGAATCCCCTTTTTGGGTCATCTTCAGCGCGGCGAAAATAAAAATAAAAAAATTGAACTATTCAGAGAACTCTCGACGCCAAATAACGTTAATATTTCTCTTGTTCGCGATAATTTTACTTCAAGTTGTAGCATTTTATAAAGTTACAGATTAACAAAAAAGTGTCGTTCATTTTCGTCTTTCACATTTATAAGTTTCACTCATTTTGACATATTTAACAAAGATATAAATATTCTTTAATCGCCGATTCAATAATGTAACTCCCATTTTTTTGCAATATTTTCTAAAATAAATCTAGCTTCGAACACATGTCAAAAATGATAGAAGGACATGATGATACAGTGTCGCTAAATCGCCGAAGACATTTTACGATCGCGTGCGTGATAACTCGTCAAAAGCGAAAATATTCCGCGTTTGGTTGGTCGACGGCGATCGAATCGATATCTACGAAGTCGAAATAAACTCTACGGGCTACCGCCGTTACGTCACGACGATCCAGTCTTCAGATGCCACCGCGAGATACTGAAATCACTGTTTCATCGAGTATTCATCCCCCCTATCCCCCGCGCTTTCCCGTTTCTTCCTCTTTCCGACCGCCGATCGATCGCGATGGGAACAGAGATACATCTACTATCGTCGAAATTGCCGATAAGTAAACGAGGTCAAAGAAAAGGCCCGCCTCATTGTAAGTCTAGCATGAAATCTGAGTCGCCAGATTGCTATCCGTGTCTTCCACGTAGAGGGTAAAATTTCGAGGTCCCAAGCTCGCAACTCTCGACCGATTTTTTCCCCCTTTAATTTCCGCGTTTTCCCGACGACGGAATTTTAATCGGTCACCGGTCCGACACATCGACCGGGCATTATCTGTCATTACCCGTTATTGCCTATTGTTCGAAATGATCGAGGATTCTTGGGGGAGAGTTTCCCAGCGGGGCTCGCTAATTCCGCCAATTACGTCGTTGTAATAAATTAGAGTTTGAAAACTTACGTGAGGACGCCTGGCGGTAATGCAAGTGATGCTGGAGACCCTGCGCTTGATGATGATGGTGGTGGTGAGGCGGCCCCATCGTCGGACCCATGGTGTGGTTGCTGTGCTGATGGTGCGGCGAGCTCCCCCGATGTGGATGGTACTGGGAGGGATGATGCTGATGAGGATGATAGGTGGGCGACAGGAAGCTTGCCGTCGACCCCGGGTACACACCGGGGCTGTGGCAGGCTGATCTGCCGAGTGCTGCTATCGGGCAATCAATAGAGGCGCTCAATAAGAACGTACATGTTGAACTTTCAAGTTCCTTTTTTTTTCTTCGGAACTTTCGAGTTGACTTTAAATTCGATCAAATCCCAATCCATCAGCCTTGCTTCTACAACAACCGTCTCCCCTCGTGCGAAATTATTTTTTCGACGGTAAATAATCTTTCTTTAAATTATTCAAGTATCTAATTCACAATCGCATTTAAGTTTACTGAAAAACTTGATGAATAAATATGTATATCGCTTAGAAATATTTTCGTGCGATTACGTGGATCTTTGGGAGGTAAAACAAATTTCCAACTCTTTATATTTACAATCTATTGTAACAGGTTGTCAGCCTCCGAGAACAATATCAAGATCTTATCAATCGAGATATGACGTTTAAGTACTATATAAATATAAATATTACGTATATATTTAGCGTCGTTTATGCCTTGAGGGAGATTTGACAAAATCGATTCGTATGAATCAGGTGAATCTTAGTTCCTTAATTACCAGGCAGATAAATTTCTTTATAACAACGCACGTATTAGGCAACTAATTACTCGTTACAAATTTTTGCGAAAGCAAGTAAAAAAGAATCCCTCGCGTAAACGCTCATTGTTACAAAACTTAGTCTTGTCTGAAACATAAAATTTGGTCGAGAATTCTTTTTCTCGTCTACGTTAAGCGCGTCAGTACGATCGTGCGTAAAAACAAAGATCGAGCTCACCCGACGACAGATGGGAGTGATGAGACGCCAGACTCGGCTGGAGGGACGAATTAGGATTGAGCCTGGCTTTCAGTAAGAGATTCGCGTCCTCGTTGCCGCCGGAGGACGTGCTGGACTCGACGTCGCTGACTCCGCTGTCCGCTGGGCTCGCTGGCAGTGATCCGCTTCCTGCTTCCAGCCATGAAACAAAGGGAGGAGACGCGTCCTCTGTGATAAATAGCCGGAGGAGTTTACGGCTGGCGATAAGACGCGACACCGTCAATTAATCTCGCGCGATTCCGTTTCGCGCGGAACAGCGCGATAAATAAAATAGAAGGCACTCGAGAGGATTGTACGGAGAAAGAATTGCATCAGCCTCACTGCGAACATTATTATTTCGTCGAAAAAGGCGCGCGGCGCCAACGAGGATTATTTTGCGAAAAGCTACAAGAGTCGAAAGTTACGTTCGCAGTGCGAACTATGTGCCTTTTGCGTACACTCTAGTTCGAAATAAATCAAAATTATTGAAACGAATAGCTGCGGAACTCTTACTTTCGTCGTTCGCAGACGTTCTTGGGTGTTTTTTTTTACAATCTTGGTATATCTTAAACAATATCTTTTCGTTAATGAAGTAAAATTACAAATAGAATTACACGACAGGTGATGCATTTCACTTTCGCAACACTTTCTAATCCAATATACCATTATGCCTTGTGCATTAAAATTATCCCCAATTTCCTTGCGTGTTAACTCGTGTACTCCAAGTTTTACTTGTAATCTCCCTCGGAACGCCGTCTCTTTTGCAAAAGCACAATTAGCCACAGAAATTTCGGTACCATTCCTCGCTGCTGACATCACCGGAGCGACCACGTGTCGGTTTAAATAACCAATGAATACGAAGTATACGTGACAATCGAATCGACGTTTCGCTTCAACATATTACGCGGACGACGATAAATTAGCGATCGAGGGATTCGGCTCTTCGCCAGGCCCTAAATTAAAGCCCCGCGTACACGTCGCTTTCGTCCGCAGCTTTAAACAAATTAGATGTCCCCGTCGAGGTGGTCCAGCGGCTCTCGCTTCTCCCGCTCGCTCGAGCTTTGCTTTATCGAGCGTCGCCGAGCCGTGTCATGCCGAACGTGTTTTCGCGCGCGCCGTCAATTAAAGGCATCTTTATGCAACGGGCGAAGGTCATCCGGTCATTGGGTATGCATATCGCTCGACTCTTCCCACGGTACCTCTCCCTTTCTCTCTCTTTCTCCCTCGCGGCGCGGCTAACCGTCTCAAACGAGTCCCAAAGGATTCTGCACGAGTCATTGCTCTGTTTCGCTCCCGTCTTCTCTCCGTCTTTCTTCCTTTTTATCGTCGCCGTCGTCAGCGTCATCATCGCCGTCGTCCTCATCGCCGCGTTACGCAAGACGATCGTGCAAGACTGGCGCAAGCCGATCGCCACGAATCCCGCCGATCGACCGGTGCTGCTTTATGCAACGATCGAGTCGAGTATTTTAAGAACCGTCTTACGCCCGAATTCCTGCCGAATATGCAACGGTCGGCTCGTTACTCGGTGCACGATTTTTACCGTTGCGCAACCCAGCTCTGTGAAATCGACATTGATCCACTAATTGTAACTTACGGATTACGAACGCGGAAATTTGGCTTACGTCGTTATTACGCGTCGTATTACGGTCATTCTTGCGAAATCGCGCCAAGAATTTTTTTCCCCCTTTCTCTTGTTAACTGCTGTCGCGTTTGATTATTGTTCTGTTCTTCGGTCAATTAGCAGCAGCAGCACCGTGATGCAATTACTCGGCAAAACGTCCAAGTGAACTACAGTTGTCACCTCGGTAACGAACAAGAGTACAAGAGCTATCATATCGCGATCCAATTAATTGGTGTCTTATTTTATCCAGCAAATGTCAATCCACAAAATGTCAATCTCCTTGCTCGCGAATAACATATCTTGATTCACAATACAATTCACAACTATGAAATTTTTAGACGCATTGTGTATTTCAGGATGGAGGCTATAAAAGCCTACGTATGACTAAATTATTCGAGTCAGATAAAGCAGCGTAAATATGACTTTGACGTATATATTTTTTCATAAGCTCTTACAAGTTTACTTTTTTTTAAATAACTCATTCTAATTTAAGAAACAATATCGACATTGCGATTAAATTCTGAACGAAATGGAGAAATGTCAAGGAATTTTCTAAACTCTTCTACGCTGTGCTTATTTTACTTTCTCTTTCCCGTTTTATTATGTTTCAATGCTTCACTTCGATATTATATTTTTTAACATTTTTATTGTTGTATATCAAATTCCCATTAGCATCTATTTTCTTTATATTTTGTTTAACGCATAGATATTAAATTCTACTGAAAATTTATCAAATTTACTTTCAAGTCCTCTCATGTTTCGTTTCAATCCTATTCTTCATATTTCACATCATTAATGTTGTAAAAATTATACCATCGCTCGTAAAGAGAAGATACTAATACAATGCGTAAAGAAGCGGGAAAACTCAGGCCTATCGTTTGTGAAGTACAATCGCTTATTATTTAAAAACTATTATAGCCCGACATTTTTGTCTTGAAATTTTCTAAAGAATCTGTGATTAAAAGGATATTCGGTGGGTTTAGTTCACCCTGTATATTATACTAAATGCTGTAAAGCTTCTTGAAAATCTGTCAACGTCGCTATGACGCTGGCTAATCTATCGCCGAAAAGGCTCATAGACGATCACCCGCGACACTCGAGTCTCATTAGCATTTTTATAAGGCCGTGATGTGCCACCGAGACATTACCTGGCGTACTCGTCGTGGCGATGGCGGCAGTGGTGTAAGGCGGTTGGCCCATCTGTGCGTGACCGGCCAAGTGTCGGCCGTATCCATTCTGCAGCCCCAGACCGTGCTGCTGGGGATGCTGGGAAAGGATACCGTGGAGCAGACGAGTCCCCGTGCTGCTGGTGGTCGTCGCGCTAGTCGACCCCGGCTCCACTTTTACGCTCGCGAGGCCCAGCTGTTCTTTCTCGCTCGGGTCGTGCGGCTGGACTTCCCTGGTGTCCACTGTAACAAAGATAACGAGATACATCGTTTAGATAAGCGGGCATTAATCTTGTTTAGCAACGCGTTACGCGAATACTTCGCGCAAGTTATTGTGCGTAGGTGATAGAATATAAAGGGTAAAAATTGTAACAAAGCAGACGAGAGTAAGTGGCGAATAGATTTTTCTATCAATTCGTGTCAAGTAATAAATATGCGGAGAAACAGAGTTAATTGTTTCTCTGTGAATATTACAAGGGAGATTCAAGCGTATAGTTAAAAGTTGATTTGTCTTGAATTTATTGGAATTGTAAACAAATTTATTAGCCCCTTATCTTTACGTTTCCAGATTTTTCCGCGGTTCACTCTATCTACAAAGTATGAAGTCGTGTTACGAAATATAAAAATTCCAAAAAATAATCTCAACCGACACTTAGTGTAATGGAATGTCAATAGATATTAATCTCAAGAGAAATAAGTATCAAAAGTAAAGCTAACGACGAGTTGTTACTTCAGAAATCGAAGTACAGTGTAACTTTTAATCGCCGCGCTATCAAAATTAATCGGGCGAGCCGCGCGAACTCTGTTACAAAATAAGGAACCTATTTCTCATTAATTTAAAAATGACGCTCCGAGATAAGTCGCTTGATTCGTATTGCATCGTGCGCGTTGCTCCATTTGAGATTAATTGGATCCAGTTCGTCCCTCGCGAGATAAACGTATCTTCTCGTCCGTCGATATAATTAAGCGTAGTCATAGGCGGATAAACATTCTCACGACGAGAGGAACGACAGAAGGAGAAGGGAAAAAAGCCGCGGCTCGGGAGGCGTTCTCGAGGAACTCGCGCTGGCTGCCGAGAGGAAGTGAAAGCCGGCGTCTCTCCTTGACCCACTGCAACGTTTCTACCTTCCTTTCAGGCGATGCCGAGCCGCGGCAGCTTCATTAAGCAATTTCTCGCGGCAGCGGGCCCGAAAAATCCGCCGTGGAAAATGGCGAACGGCGAACAACTTGATTGAAACCGCGACTCGATCGAAGCGCTCCCCTTGCGAGTTCTGTCATTTCCTCGCCGCGAAAAGAGCGCGCAGGTTCTTCGTCCCCTCGCTTTCGGGAGATGGACGTGAATTGGGCAACGTGTCCGATCTCCTACTGGCATGCGCCTCAGAAGTCTTACGATGGAGAAATATTAGAGATATTCGATGTGTTCACAGAAACCTGATCAAATAAACCCGGTTGCTTCAACCAATATTTATGAGAAGCATCGAATTCTACATCGCTTTTTCACCGTGGCTAAATACCGCAGAAATTTATCAGTCATCGTAAATTTTATTAATGCCCTCTAATAATTCTTTTGCGACTTTGCATTCTTATTACTGCTTGTCATATAACGTTAAGTAACGTTGTCCGTTGAAGTCAAGCACGGATACCTGGATCGAGTTTGCGAGGTAAAAACTTTCACAGTTTTTGGAAATATCTGTCAGAGTAGATCCCCATAATGGTATATTACGCCTGAATCGGACAGATCGCACGGCGATCAATGAAATCGCGTAAAAACCGCCAGTTAATGTGCCTCGTAGAAGTACAGTTGATTACAAGCCGGCATTTCCATGAATAATTTTCGCCTCCGCTATAGAAATTGCGTATCTCCGTGACTTCGTAAGAGCCGTAACTTCGTAATAACCACGGATGCGTTACTCGCCGCGGAAACAAAGAATACAACATCCTCGCGTAGACCCTTTCATTGTTGCCGTACAGTATTCGGAAAAAAAAGTATTGTTGTAGTGTAATTAATAACCCTTCGCGTCTCAGGGCGATTGCGCTGCGAAACTACTGCGAGCTGTGTCGCGTTCTTTGAATTTTTCCGCTGCTATTTCGAATTTTTTGCGATTGTAAGGTACGTAATTAAATACTTTTTTGCGTTATTTTTAAAAACATAGGATATAGCAATTATTATTTTGAACGTTTTAATAATCTTTTTTGTATAATTGATGGTTATACAATAATTGACAATCTTACCACTTAAACATTGCATCGCGTTCGTCCAATTACTATAATCTTAGATAAGACGAGTCTCAGATAAGACCAAAATTGAACGTTGTATTAAAATCATAGCGCGTTGACATGCGAAAATCAGGCGCGTACAAACACAATCACGGTGCGAATCGATTATTGACGTCACCGCGAGACGCCGAATCGTGAATCGACTCGGTAATTACACGATCACGTCGATCGACAAATCACAGTTAAATTCAGTGTCATATGCCCAGACGTCAAATTAATTAGGGATTATGTCCCCTTATGCACGTAAACTTACAAAAATACATCACGATTCGTTCATAAATCTTTTTTTTCCCCCCAATAAAACGGCGCGTACGAAGATGGATACTAAATGCGAGTCGCATTCTTCTCAATCGAAGAGTGTACTCGTAATATTTATTTTTAGAGATCCGCCACGATCAAGTAGGATGCGCGTCTTCCAAACACCTCAAGGCTCCCGGAAGTAAACGATGCTCCGGCATTGTTCAAAACTACTGTCGCTAGTCCCCGCGCACCTTTGCAGGCGCATCCGGGGCCGATGCGCGCGACCCAAGTGTGCCGTTTCGCATTTTTATCACACATAACAATTTATTACGAAGATTTAATCGACTGCTGAGATTTAACGATCGTGTGTCTTTATTACTCGCCGCCGTCTGTTCCGGGAAAACAAGAAAGGGATAAACGCGGTTAAGCTTGAAAACACTCGCCTGTCGAAATTAATCATTGCTTTCCTTTAACTCTCCTTAGTTTTAATAGTCGTGTCTGTTAAAATCGGCCAAATCATTTTTATTAGATCTCGTGTCAAAATATCGCTCTTCTCTTTCAATCGCCGGCATCTCGACGGATCGACCGAATCGAAATGTTTGCTCGGCACAATCGCGAGCGGGGGAGATAAATCTCGCTCGCCCACCGGAAACTCGAAAGGGTGATGCGCGACCTTGCTTAGCCTTGACTCGCCCTCGAGTGCCGCGAAGGATGGGCTGTCTAGCCGCATCGACCGCGCGCGTTTCGAGTCGCCGGTTCGAGTTTTCACAGCGTTTTCACCTTCTGCGCGGCGCTTCCTGCCCGTTTCTCCCGTACCAGAGGCTGACTTCCGGTGTATCGACATGTCGGCAAGGTTTCACCGTAATCACCATTACCACGTCCTGGTTTTCATAGTTTCTAAAAGCCCGAGACTCGTTTCGCTCGCCCGCCAAGTATCATTCACATCGGATCGTTAAATTATATGCACCGCGCGCAACTTTAATCACCATAACGAGACTATCAAAATTAGGCATAAAATTATCCATTAAAGCGAAGGAAGAAAGTGCTCTTAGAAAAAAATTATTATATATGTTATAAACATACATAATAATCTTGTAGGATTATGAAACAACATTTTGCCAACATCATTTTTCCAAGAATTATGCTATTATAAATACACATCGTATATTCATTTATTATTAATATTCAAGAAATATGCAGAATCAAAACACTTAAACCCTTCTAGGTATACATCCATGACCGATATATAAATATCAGTATTTAATCACCTCTTAAAAACTGCAGAAAATGTTGTTGCGAACGGGAGCGCTCAAACGTTTAAAATTTACTAATTGCCAATTTCCTCACACCGACAAAATTTTTTTAAGGCCACGTCGAATAGTAACGAAACGGGTTTACTCGCACACGCGTACGATCGTATGAATCTCTCGGGTGTGTGCGTACGCACGTGTAAGCGCGCGCGAGCAGTACGTAAGGTCAGCGTTTGGCCGGGCCACGCAACTTTCTCGCGCACGCACACGCACACGCGGGCGTCCCGGTGCGGCGTGGCCGGCATTGCGTAACGGTAACGACTCTCTCTTTCTATGTGACATCACGTGCGTCCAACACACGGCAGAAGAGACGACTCTTTTACATGTGAGCGGCACCGTAGGTGCGTATGAACGCGTACTTGCACACGCGAGCGAGGGACACATGCCCACATTGCGCCGCCTCGAAAAAGGAGGCGAGCCGCGTTATCTCGCGCGCGTCCCGGGGACGTTGAAATCCGGATTCGCCGGTCTTTCGCCATCGGCGATCACGCAAAAAGGCCCGAAGACAGCCCCGAGGTATTATGATCGATCTCCTTCGAGCGACACGCGATTATCGATCGACTGCCGACGGAAAACGCACGTGCTTCGGTTCGCAATCACTCATGCTCCGCAAACTGATAATATGCTCGAAAAATTGTACGACATTGGAAGCTACATGTAGTACAAACTAAAAATATCATAGATAATATCGATTTTTTCCTGCCGGAAGCGACTACCGTCGGTATTATCAGAGCGTAACCGTTGTAGTGACGCAATGCGAAACGTATACTATGATCCGCCCGAAACGCAGCAGGTGCTTACGCACTTTCGTGCTCGCCTGCGGCGAAACGTTTCCATTTGAAAGAAGATGAAATACGATGAGCGTGAAAGTTCATCCCTTTTTTTTTTTACACAGAAACTTAAAGAAAGACGATACATCTTTCTTCTGTAAGACATAAAAGGTCGTAATTTGCGTTCGTACCTCGATTTTTGTAACTTGTTTTATTCATTTTCGCCACGCGTTTATCTCCTAACTTAATACTAAACTGTTGTTGAAACTTACTTCTCGGAAAATACGGCTTTAACTCGAATCCAGCTTATGTAATGTAACATTCAGCATCATCGAACCATAAGCTGTTAAAAACCACTTTGTTTATTTGTTCGCATTGAATGTTGTCTCGCATTATTAATTCCGGTTGTTCTTTTCGCGATCTTGTCATATTTATTTCGTGTCTCTCGTTAGATTTATGCAAATATAATTAGTGGAGTATCTCTCCTTATCTATCTCTTCTATCTCCCGCTGATATATGCATCATAGAGCAATGATACGAAAGGTTATTTCTCACAGATTATGCGTGCCTGTGATTAAAGTCTGCATGTAAATGCATGTAGTGCAGATCGCGATTAAAGCCGGATCGATCATCTCGTATTTCCGCG